ATCATCATTCAACCGTCAGGACTTGTCTCTTTCAATAGTCACAAAATCAATTAAAAATTGCATCAATATCAAAACAAGACTTATAACTTTCAAAAATATGAGAACCTGTAAACGGATTGGTGAACGAATGGTTATAATTCTGAAGCAAAAGGAAACTCCATTTATCCAAAAATCGAAATAAAATTAAATAAAGAAAACGATGGAGCCATGTATTTGAAAATGTTGCAGTGACTTCATGTAAAGTACCGCCCAAAATTAAAATATCGGTTCGAAAATCAAGGAGCCGCGACATTAGCGAGATCGATTGGGAAACATCAATTTTGGAGAAAATCGGTAGAACGGTCTAGCCGCAAACGTTGTTCACAGACGGCCTGACGGACGTTTTGCTGTCATTCGATTTTTCGGTATCAAAGACCCGCAAAACATGGATTGTAGCAACGCTACGTTTAGGGGATTTTTTTTAAACTTAGCATATCTATTTATCTACTTTTCCTTACCATGCCCTGTAATAAGATATTTTCAGTCGTAAATTCGCAGTTTTCTCGCGCAGCATTCCATAACTTTCTCTCTGAGGCGTAAGTGGAAGCAAATAAGTAATAAGCTTAAATAGGATTTTCATTTCGAAAGTATTTTTGTAAGCATGATTTTTTTCATGTGATTAGGGACCGACTTATGTAACAATTATTCCTTCGCTCAAAATATTCTCGTCGGAATTAAAGAGCTGCTTCAAAACTTGCGAGGCCAGTTTTTACCTCCGAGACGTTTCTTTAACTATCGTTTCTACAATAGTCAGGAAGCATTTCCATATCAACACTTTCTTTTAACCGTTAAAAGTTGAATATTAGAATTGAATTATGACTTCCGAAAGACGTAACATTTTGATTTACTTTTGAAATATGAAAGTGATCTCTCCTCTGAAATATCTATTAATTTTCTATCAGTCCTCCTTTCGCAGTTCAAATTCTTTGTTATAATCGTGATTTCTCAGGCATAATTTGTACTACTGTAGAATTTGCTTCGCCGAAAACGTAAAGGAATAGAAATCATCGGTTACATACGTAAAATGTCCCATATTCCATGTTTGAAATGTCTTCCATTCTACTATCAATAATACCAAATCAACCGCTCGTACACTCTGAAAACATAACAGATGGTTTGCAAATATCGTACGTCATAACCAGTCAAGTTCCGATATCTTCATTAAGTATGTACATATTTTCTAACATTTTAGAAAAGTTCTTAGTTAATTCATGCACGCAATTAGAATGGAGCATTAGTAAAACTCAATGACAGTATACCATGAAAGGACAATGTAAATTATTGCAGTAACCTTTTTTATGGTGGACGATACTGAGCTACTAAGATCCGTATTAAGAGAAGCTCCAACATTAGCTCCAATTAGGAGAACATAAATCCTTTTGACGTCAACAACCCAGAAAATGTTTTAGGCAATGAATTCAGGTCGTCACATTGAATCACTCGCAGCGTTCCTTATAATATTATTTTCGTTCATACGTTAGTAATACCATTTTTATACTACTGACAACACTGAGGTTGAAAGGTAAAAACCGAACAAAATATATCCCCATGTGAAATGCAATCAAGAAGAATGTGACTGCTTGTTTTACTTCGACCCATTCCTTCGAGGAAGCTTCGTCGCGAAAGATATTGAACTTCAAAGGTTTGATTTTGTAGTTACCTTTACCCAGAAGATTTTGATATGCTCATTGCCTCTCAATCAAAGAAGTCTTTTATTTATAACCCCATCCATAGATTAACTTCATCACATACGGTTTATTGGAACTTATTTCGCAAACGTCTGCATTCCAAGACAATATTTCAAATTTCCCCAAATTAATTGCAATCATCAAAAATGATCCACGACGATAGAGAAAACTACTCAACAGTGTGATATACATGTATAACAAGACATTATATATCTAGGTATCTCAGAATAAACATTATATAGGTCGTGAAGGGGAGTCAATAATGATCACTGCTTGACAATAGACATACGTAAGGAAATTTCATTATGAAGTAACACAACTGTCATTAGTTTTGGCAGGTATACAAAATCTCTTTCACCGGATCAGAACGTGCACTGCAGAACATCTGTGCAGTATGAATTTCCTACTAATCAATGACAAATTACACATGTGTAACTCAGTTTAAGAACTGTATCGTGTGTTCATTTGCAAACAATAATAAATTACAACTTCCCACATGCCCCGGAAGTTTGCAACACTTATTTTGAGGCGCGCACACACATACGTATCTATAGATGTGTATAAAATGAGAATATCAACCGTGGTAGAAAAGCAGCTGTAGCTTTCTAATATAAATCGTCTCAGTTTCTATAGCTGCGCGACGAAAAAGAACGCATCCAGCAGGCGAAGCAAGCTAGGTAGAGTGATAGGATACGTAATACTCTCATACTCGCTACACGTTTCCCTCACCCACCCCCGCCCTCCACGCGAGGATAATAAATGAAAACAGGGGTACAATCTTGAGAACACTAACTGGTAGAAGTAGGATTAATTCCACTCTAAATGTATATGATATACAGAGGGTGCCAAAAAAGAATACACACTTGAAGGAAAGAAAAATCTGTCTTAACGTACCAAAGAAGAAATGTAAAGGATAATTTTCCACTAAAATATTTTCTTTATCACGAGTCTTTAACAATAGGAAGTAAACAAATTCTAAAAAATGCAACATATGGAAATGTAATATTTTTATTTTTTTTTATTATGGAAGACAAATTTCTAAAACTACTTCCTCACCATTCTGAAATTTGGATCATGGAATCTTCAATGGTTCTGAATAAAAAATATATTACCGGCGCTCCGTAAACGACCTCACCTCAGCTGCTACAGTAGTCGCGCCGTAGCACTATTCGCCGGCACTCGGCGATACGTTTTTTCTCCGCGGTACGATGTTGAATTTCGCAAAACCACTTGTCTAGGAACTTCAGATGAATTCAAGTACATTCCCTCAGCAGTTTTGTTTTCAGAAACTCAATGGATACTCTGTGTTCCTGGCAAAATTTTCAGGCCTACGAATCTTCCGGTATTTAAAAATTCTGCCTCTGATTCAATTTATTGGCTGGTAAAAAACCAAATAAATGTCTTCCGCATTACCCTTCGCCCATTCAAAAAGTTTCCTAGAAGTAGTGACACAAGTTCCTTGAAGCGTAAGCTGCAAGTCTCTTGGTAGTTCCTCCGTATACCACCACAGGGACCTTTACCGTCGCTCATGGCAAAAAAAGGGCTATTCGGCTGGGACTTGGAAATACTTATAATCACACGTTAATATATCGACATGTTTTCCGCGTGGATTCATAACTACTTCAAAGAATCCAATGCCATCTTAAATGGGTAACCATTGAAAAATGGATAACCGTGAAAATAAACCACGAAAAAGCTAAGTACATCTCACGGATTACTTGATTATAATAATATATACTTTTTGACAAAAATAGGAATAGTAGGAAGAATAGGGAACGTTCTTAATTTATGCCTTATATTTAGCATTCAAGCCTCAAATAGCTAGCTTTAAAACAAATGGAAAATCAACAAAAATTAAACAGATCAATGTAAAAGAAAATTACATGTACACAAGAAAAACAGCGTGGATTAAGTTCACCCTAAGCTCACAGATTCTAAAAAAAATCTATTGTAGAAAGAAACAAATAGACTAGGAGCAAACACGACCTGCTCGTTTTGATTACAGAAATCCCTGCTACCTTCCCCCACTCTTCATTTTCAATTCCCTTCTCGGAACCCCGACCTTTCGTTCCCCGTGTTCCAGCCAGCCAGCCAGCCAAACCATCCACCCCCCCTGCGACCACACCAGACGCCAGAATGACGTGCAGATCGATAAGTGGCGCAATGGATTCACAGAAATACGGATTCAACGGTACAAGCGCATGGCGCACACCGAAATCCTGGACACAGTAAAACCTTCCAACTACCAATATTATACTATTTTCTGTAAATAAAACATTACAATACACTAAAAATTTCATACTGTAATGTTTTCCCATAATCGCATGGGCGTTCTTCAGGAACATCGATATTAATTTTACGAAGTAATTGTCTCAAATCTATTGTTATCTCTAATGTTTCTAAGTTAATATTTTGCATATTTGTATGTTTATTATTACCATCTAAAATACTGATATTAGTTATGGTAGTATTTTATGCCAATAAAATCTGTTTACTTTTCTACAATACCAATAACTTTAATTTATAAACCCTTAAATCTTTAAAGCTCTTATATATTGATTAACAATAACTGAAGAGTAATTAATCTAAAAATCTTTCCCATAAATATAATTTGGAAATTCAGTTTAACATGTCATCATTTAAAAATGTCTTTATATTCACCAATTCCATCACATTTTTGACATTTTTCTGACAGTGCACTGGCAGCATACTTTCAAGTATGATATTTAAGTATTTAAATTTCTTCTTCAGGTCCAATGATGCGTGCATACATGTTAATATTTTCAAATTCAGAATTACAGAAGTACCAATTAATGCACCATGAAACACTAAATTCCTTTAAAGTCACACAGTTTGACAGCAATAAGTAGCATGCAAAAAAATGATTTGAAAGTTTATTGCAGTATTTTCATTATTAGATATTAACAAAATTAATTCTGAAAGTTTATTATATTTTAATACTTCTGTTAAAACTCAAATGAGTGTGTAACTACACTTTTAGACTTAAAATTTTTATTTGCAACACGATTAAATATTATTCATTCATGTATATTCAAAACAATTCTGATAACTGCATGTCATTAGTTATTGAATTTTATTACACATCATTTACTTATCAATCTATTTTGTTGCCATTCATGAGGGTAAACTATTTTTTTAATTACTTTGAACTGAAACAACTACACTAATAAACTTAGCGGCATTTGTTCTAAGCTTCATTTCCAGGCAACAAAGAAACTTTTCTAAATATATTTACAGAAGAAAATCAAATACTAGCACCAAATTTGAACGTTTGATGAGCAGGTAAATAGATAACTGGCAGTAAATACAAAACCCTCTTGCCGTTTATGATAATGGATTCAAATTTTAAAATCTCTACGGTACCTACAAATAAAAATTCAAACTTATTACAGAATGTAGAGGATGAGAATTTTAAAGCGATGTACTATTATAATTTGCAAACGATTATACACAAAAACATCAAACAAGGTTACAATCAATCAAAAATCTTTCAAATGCGGATACATGACAAACATCTAACGAGAGAGTACCATATAAATAAATAATTTACCTTCACCGTCCTTGCGTCCTAACTTGCGGCAAAAAGCAGTCCGTACAACAGAATAACCTACATAGGCGAAGCCAGCAAAAATAGCAGAGCAAAGTGCCACTTTATTTACAGTCTTGTCGCCTGTAGATGATGCCATGTTCGAAATGTTTTTTTCAATAAATAGCTAAATTAAAAACACCACTCAATACCACGGTACATGATGATTACATGAACGAATGAATCATGTCGCACTAACAACTAATCACACACGAACATTCAACATTCCTCCCACCGCGCACTTTCAAGACCGCACCGGACCGACGTACCGCTCGCAGTACCGTCCATCGCAGTATGATTTAACCAGCTGCTGCGGCAACGATATTGACGCCATCTATAGACAGAAGACCAAACTATGCACGGAAAATAAACGAAAATCGAAAGGAAAAGCGCCAATATTTGAAATAACATTAAGCCACGACTCACTGGATTTGCAATTCTCAATTGGTGTACATTCGCAAATAAACAAAAGTGTAACATTTCCATTTCACGAAAACTAATGAGACTAAAATTTTTTTTATAAACTATTGTAATATTATTACAAACTAACATTTTGTTGGGCAAATCTATTGATCAAAATCATAAGATTTCATTGATTCATATCTACTTACAGAGTCAATGGCATTAAAAATACTTCACTACAGGGGTAATCCCACACGAAATGAACACAAAGTAAACTTAAGAGATTTTAACACTGAATTTACGTACATTTTCTGCTGATATTTTATTTCCATCAGCTAAAAAATGTATTATTGATCTTAGAACCAAAAATTATTTTCAAAAATTTTAAGTGATTTAGGACACACCATGATTTTTCGAAATTTCGTTTTGTTGACGTCCCATGCTAAACATTTTTTTAGCACCTTAAGTGTTTCTTTATTAAATATCTAACAGGATTTGATTATTTTTTCGTGGAGATTCTACAAAAGAGATCAATGCATGCAAAACCAAAAAGGTTCGATCCGTGCTCATCACACGGTTTCGTATGCTTCGACACAGAAGTTTATTTTTCACGGTGGGGAGGAAGCGCGATAAGGCAGTGGGATGTAAGAAATGTGTGACAGGTTTCGATAGAGTAATGCGAGAAACATGAGTAAGCATGTGGCTGCGATTACTTCTGTTTCTCATGTATCCGTTCATCCCTGATTCTGAGTATGCAATTTTTGTTAAGCTGGCGGTAGATTTGGCAATTTACAGCGGAGGTCTGGAGGTCAGAGGAAGAACGGAGAATTACTTTGATTTGTTTTACAGAAAGTCGGTTTCAGGAACATTATTTGGAAACTCGAATCTGAAAAATTCAGTTTCGACATGTAATAGTTATTTAAGCACCAAGGGCGTTATAAACGTACTAATGATCAAGCGGCGACAAGAAATCTTCGGGCCAAAGCCCCTCGGGATTTTGTCGCCGCTTGATCATTAAAACAGTTAATGCCCGTGGTACACAAGATTTTTTTTTACCTGATTTAATGACTCAGATTTACTTACATCAAGTCTAGTAAAATAACTGTTACATTTTGATATTATATATTTATTAATATTTTAAATTTATTTGAATATAATTTCTGTTTCAAATAAACTTTTGTCAATTTGCTCACAAATTACTCTGTACATCGATATCCTCTCCATCAATGGCGAAACGTTCGGGCCCAGATTAAAGAGTTTCTACTTTTAGACTGAAGGTTTTTCGATTATAAGAAATATGAGGGCCATTTCATAAATAATGGCCTGTATTTTATATTTTCTTACATTTTTCAGATAATCTCTTTACAATCTTTCAATGTGGACTCCATTCTTCTCAATTACCGAGTCCCAATGACTGGGAAGCTGTAGAATTCCATCAAATACCCCTTCTTTGATCATTAGACGAATGGTTCGGGTAACGGCTGCAGAATGCTCATCAAGGGATACAAAACGACGCCATCACAGAAGTTTTTTCAATATTTGGAATAAGTCAAAGACTGGTGGAATCGTGACAGGACTGAAGGGTGAATATTATAATACTTATCAACCACATTCATGGAACGTTTCTGTTCCGACGTTTAGTTGGGTGTGAGCGAGCGTTGACGTGGAGAATGGGTGACCCAGAGTGGTCGAACAACTGAGGTCAGGTGTTGTACATTTTCAGTATCAATCATTTGACTGCACGTTTTCGAAATATGGACGTTATTGCAATTTCTGTGGCTTCAGAAATTTCTTCACATGTCGCACGGTGATCTTTTCCAATAACATCTTCCACACGTTTCACACTTCGTACATCTGTCGATGTTCTGGGTCTTCCCGGTCTTACGTAGTCGTTTTTTCTCACATGACCTTTACGAAATAAATTAGCCCAATGGGAAATTGCTATGCACCACTATAAGCTCCCCGCACACTTCACTGAAAGTTTTATGGATTTCAGTATGGTTTTCACCACATACAATGTCGATCTTAATATGCGATCTTTTTCTCGACACTCACAGTACCCGAGACCTGTGCTGTCTGCATTTCAAAGATCCGTTATTAAATAACAAAACAAGTTATTGATGAAACCGAGACAAGTGCTTCTTCCTCAAACTTTGTACTACAAATGACGGAACAATCATTACCATCACATGCTTCAGCCGGCGGTGTTGCCGAAATGTGTACTATTTATAAAATGACCTCCGTATCAATTATTAGTATCGCAACTGACTATTAGGGTCGCAACCTTGCAATCTGAAAACATAGAGTAAGATCAAGCATCTGCACTTCTGAAAAATGCAGCTTATCAACTACCAGCATTTAGAGGCAATTTTGTGGAGGTAAGTACTCAGCAACTTCTCTTACTGAAAAGTGGGGCATTCCTTTAACATGTGAAACTCGAAAAGAACACGTGCGAAGAATTACGATGAATTATGTATGAACGTCGAGCGACTTGACAATCCGCAGGAATATTTCCGCACAGTTGTATTTAACGGTTGTTTGGACATTGTTTTAAGCCAATTGAAAAACAAGTTTGAGGGTATGAATAACGTTCCGTGGTAGTGTGATCCACGTTGCTTGGGCATTTAGTCATTTTTAATTTTATTTTATTTGTCATTTTACCTCGTATTTTTGCTATAATTCTTTTTTCTCCCATACTTCATGTTATTTTCTCATTTTATCCTTCTCCATGATGACCCACTGATGATGGGAAAAGTGTTTTCCGAATATTAACTATGGGTATGTTGTAATAAATATTATAACTGTGATTGTTTCACAGGTATGTTGTAATAAATATTATAATTGTGGTTGATTATTTCCTAATGCACATTATAAATAACGTTGTTAATTTCTTCAAAGTTCTCTCACAAAAATTCTTAACATCTGCTGCAGATGAAGTACACAATGCTGCAACATACCTCCAATATAAATATGTAGATCTATCAATTGAATTTCCAGGCCAAGTAATGTTTTTCAGTGATGCGTTGAAACCAGAAATTTCCAGGTCAAAGCAAATATATGATTTATCCAAACTTTTGCTTGTTGAAAATTCTACCATAGCACGTGTTCCTGATTCGTGCATGGCATTTTACTTGTTTTTGACTCTGTTACGGTATCTGCCGCCGAGCGATCGTTTTCTAAATTAAGACTTATAAAAAACTATCTAAGTAGTGTTATGGACCAGAAGAGACTGAATAATCTCAGACTTCTCATTATCGCATCTCGGAAAACAAACCGTGGCATTCAGTTTCACTAGTTTTCAATGTATTGTTTTTATTAATAAAACTATAAGTTGTTAGTAACCTTGATTTCTCACGTCTGTGATCATAGTGATGAATATGAATTTGTTAAAGAATATTTGTATTATATAAGGTAACAACACTATTTGTGTTTACTCTATTATTTTATAAACGGGGCCTAGATAAAAGTTTTACGGGCGGGCCAGCACTCACTTCGTAACGCTACTGCTCTCTACCACGTTATGTAACCTCCCGAGGACCGGTCGAGACCAAAGGTGACTCAAAAAGTCCCCTACACTTAAATATTTGCACAAGAAAATGAAAACTTTGGGCGGTGTGACTTTTTGTAATTATTTTTAAAGTTCCAGAACTAAATTATTTTAGAGCACAAAAATCCTAAAATCGTTACAAAATATTTGTCCCTGTCTGACATAGCATTCTGTTTTGCTGTTTAATTTTTGTCGTGAAGTTGTAGGACTTTTTCCAGTTGCCAAGTCTTAGATGCCATTCTTCGAATTCTCCATAACTTTACGCGACAAGTTATTATTTATAAATAATCTTTGTTTAAAAACTGGAGTTTCGCTACCTGTAACATTTACTAGTATTGAACGCAGTTAAACGACTTTAAAACGGGTAAATCAATACTAGGAAAACCCAATGGGAGAAAATGGTCTCAGAGGACTAGCATTGCCTAGTATCCATCGAGAGATAAACGGAGATAACGAAGTGATTCAAGTGTTTGCAAAGAATAAAAGACAATTAATATTGTAACTGTGTCAAATTCTTATGTATACTTTCTAATGTTACATGTTTAATTTAGTGTTTTCATTTTGGAATTTGGTTTTACGTTGATTAGATTAATCAGAATGGCAAATCATCCACTGGCACAAACAAAATCAAGAAAAAGCAGTTGTAGCCATTTAAACTTAGGGATTAGGCTGTTTTTGAAGTTTGTCTCCTTGAAACATATTACGGCGGAGTTACAGTTTTTTAAAGTAATTTTAAGTATTCAATTCTTGTGTTCATTCCATTAAATTATATGGAAAGGGTTCTATGAGATTGTATTTATTATTTATGTGAGAAATGAGAAAAAGATTGATAGCTTCGTAGAGTAGGTGCTTTATTTGTTGGAAGGATACAAAAAGACAAAAATTAATTGAAACATAGCAAATCGAATATTCAATATTGCACTATTCTTTTATCTTTGCCAGTACAATTACATCAATTTAAATAGAGAAATCATACATTTTTATCTTGCATAATGTGTATGGGAATATGTTATACTTTGGATTTGTTTAACTTGGACCTACAATGATTTAGGTTTACTGGTTGGGGTAATAAAAACATTCAGTAGCTTGTTGACTTTCCATTAGAGACACAAAAGAACTTGTTGTAGTTGATTCCAGTTGCTTAGTTTTTCTATTAAAATATAAA